ACCAATAATCTGGTTACAATGTAGACATTTTAACTAATATTTGGCTTACATAAAAAGATAACTGAAATTTAATTGCTCATCATTATTTATTACTGTTGTAGTGGTTCATGTGGAGCTAACTTAGTAGACCACCTGGAAGCTGCAGTGATCCAAAACACAATGAAATAGATACACCACATATAACACCACTATTTCACACGGTGCATTGGTTTTTAGTAGCCTACCTGGTACAATTCAAGATGCTGGTTATCAGCTATACAGCAATTCATGGCATAGGGTCAGATTATTTATGGGACCATCTACCTCCAAATGATTGACTGATCCACCATATCTAGCACAGTAGGCATATTATGAGTCCTATTCAGATAGACACTAGCATTAGTGGGATTAATCTTATTAGAAAAAGGGATAATATTAATCAGAAGCCAAGTACTAACATCTATATCTCCACCTTCACCATGCCTGCCTCCAACACTATTTCAGCATTTAAAATATAACAAGATACATAATGTTTTTAGAAACTGTGCAAGTTTCCAGGAAGAAATCAGAAAAAGAGTCCAAGTGTACTCCATATGGAAGTTGTGCCATAGATAGGCAGCCACCATTTACATTTTGCAACCAAAGAGCTGGGTTCAATTCAACAAGCAATTCAACTGTGGTAAATATGAGATCAAAATGCAAATCAGTTAGTCACTGGCAACCATCCACTTCAACATATTCCACAAGGTAATATTTTTATACTAAAACATTAAATCATGGATGATATAGTAACACTCTCCAATTTTTCTTTATGGCTTCACCTTTTAGCAAAAGTCCTGGAAGACCTGGCTCTGCTGATTGCCCTGGGGATTCAATGGAGGAGTACTACATGAGAGATGGCTATTAGACTGACCCCACCTCCCCTCCCCGTGCATCCTACTGCCCCTGCCATCTTTTAATTCATATTGCTATACTTTCATTATTTCCAATGTTTTATTATTTTTCTATAATGTTTACATATTTTTAATTAAACATTCTAATGTAAGCTGCCCAGAGATTGGTGACAAATAAATGTAATAATAAATGTCACCTCTCTTCAAAGTTTCGTCAGCTTTATGTCCCAAACATTTGACTTTTTGAAAATCTCCCAAATATTTATTACCAAAATATCTGCCTTATTAAGGAATAAAGTAGGAAATTCAGTTTAAGACTTCCTGGCTTTAGATCTTTTTACTTGCAAAAAAGACATTAGAGAGAAACTGAGAACACACTTATGAATTCTTGATGAATCAGATTTCAAAAGAATTACAGTGGATCATGAACGAAGCCACTGATTTTTACTATTTTAAGTAAAAAAGTTGTTATCAAATCCAAAAGTTTTTTCTGTGCATATATAAATAAGTAACATTTATTAAGTGTAAATTCTACAATAAGATGCAGTCAGCACAATTCTTTCAGATCTATTAGTGAAATAAGGGCCTGCCTGCCTGCCTGCCTCCTCTCTCACACATACTTCTCACTTAACAATCATAATTGGGAGTGGTATAACTCTAATGTTGCTAAACATCAATGGTATAAGCAAAAACTCATGCCATTATGCTGATTTATGAGTAACAAGTCCAGTTACAATCTTTAAGAGAATAATGTGTGATTCTTAAGCACAATATCACATGACTGTGACTTGAGATTTGCCGGCTTCCCCATTGACTTCATTTGTTGGAAGCTAGCAGAGAAGGTTGTAAATGGTGACCATGAGATAATTCAACCATAATTGTGCACCAGTTGCCAAGCACCCAAATCACAATTGTATGACCATGTGGATGCTGTGATGGTCAGAACTTCAAGGACCAGTGCTGTCATTCAGTGCTGTTGTAACTGAATAGTCGCAGATATATTACTATATTCTTTAAAGTCTCAAGGCCAAGGAAGTTTTCGTTATTGCCCAAATTACCAAACACATATTAATAAACAGATATTAACAAAATTCTAACAACTATCTTACTTTTAGTCTTTAAATCATACAAGATAACCATACAATCTTTATATGGAAAAAAAGGAAAGGATAGAATGTTGTAATGTTATTTATAAACAGCAAAGTTTAAGTTGTTCAGCATGATGTCTGCACTTAGTCATTAGGATTTAGTATCATTAAGTGCAAATCAGGATAGTATGGCTTGCTTAACAAATCATGCATACAAATCTTCACTTTGTATCATGTTTAAACTCATTCATCATTAATCTAAACTGATCAACAGACCTTGAGTCCAATAATTACTTTTGCCTGGAAGAATAAAACATTTTGTGTATTTGTAAATTTATTCTAAAAATAATCCTGATCCTTAAAACTATACTGAACTATTCTTTTACAGCATTAACTGTGCTCCATTGGAGTGCCTAGGTCATACTTTTAAAACTAGAGCTCCCCATGTCTTTTCATGAATTCTTTTCGTGACTTATTTTCCAACAGAAATTAGTTTGCACTGTATATTCAGAGAGAAAGGTTTAGATGTGAGAAAACGTCTCTGAAGTAAAAAGGCAGACTTATGTGAAAAAATGAGCTACAAAACTGTAAAATCAGATGCCTTATTTGAAAACAGGAGGGCTTCCTCAAATATAAACATAGAATTGCTTTCCATCTGATTTTATACATACTCAGAGGTTCCCTGAGTTCAATAGTAAGCTTGAAAATGATTCCAGCCTAAGACTCAGTTTGCAGTTAAACAGCAATGGGCAATATAGTTAAATAGCTTTCTGAACAGATGCAGCTCTGAGGAAACAGTAGTTTATCTGTGTTGCAGAAACTTTCTTATCAATGCCTGTCTCAGTTCCTAAATAAATTGCAGAGCATCTGCTGGGACAGTACTGTCTGTGATTCTTAATGCCTTTTGAAATAATCTGGGACAGTAGTGTCCATGGTACAATAATCCTCCTAACAGGCTGAGATCTTAAAGACAGCAGCATCTCTGTTAAGAGTCATCCTCCAAGTCATCCTCCCAGCATCTGCTTAGCATACAGCAGCACTGTATCCATATTAAAATGAAGTGTCATGTATTCCACATTTATATAGTGTTCACAAATATCTGTATTTACTACATAACTATCTACTTAAACCAGAAAGCTTTTCTATAAATAATCTGCAAATAAAATCAATAAAATAAAAGAAACTAAAGGCCAATTAAGAAATTGAAGTGTAAGTGAAAGCATAAATCAGTTTAAAGAAAATAAAGTTTGATTATAAGACATCAGTATCCCTACAGTCAAATAATACTTAAGCAACTATATAATTAGAGCATAAGAACACACTTCAGAAATATAGTATGATGGGGAAATTTCTTTTAAAACTATAATATAGCCCATGAATACTTCCAATCCAGCGAATTAAAGCCCACCAGATTAGCAAATTATTTTGTTTATTGTATGGCATATACAGAGGTCATACAATCACTGATATACAAATTTAAATAAAGTGTCAACACACATATACATAAGCATACACACACACACACGTGTTAAATCCATTATTAAGTGATGTAGTTATAAAGTGCAACATCATGTGACTTTACCTCTTAGTCACCCTCACTGCCTTGCACATCAAGACTTCTGTCATCTTTCACCATCTTCTTTGTCCCGCTGCTGCTAAGATATGCCTATCCTGGCCTTTCACAAGGCAGCTGCTGGCCACATGAGGCCATCTTCCCCAAGGAAATTGCTGAAAGCAACTTGGGAAAGTAAGCCTTGTGTGGCCAGCAGTTGCCTCACAAAGGGCCAGGGCAGGGATGCCTCATCAGCAGTTGAAGCAAGACGACAGTGAAAATCATCTAGGGCAGCAAGGGCCACAGTATGCAGAGAGCCAAAAGATCATATAGACAGGGGACAGTTAGGCCAATAGAGCCTGTACAGTCATAAGTGTGAGCGGGCTGCTAAGTGCCTGAATTTTGATCATGTGACTGCTGGGGTACTATAACGGTCATAGCTTTTGGGACTGGACATTACTCCTTTCAGCACTGCCATTACTTCAAATGATCTTTGAACAAATGATGGTAAATTGAGACTACCTGCAGTTATTGGATGGAAGAACATCAAGATACAAGAGGGCAGGCAAACTGAAAAACATCTAAGATGGTAACAAACTACTTCCATATTGTTGCCAGGAAAAAATAATGTGGCTCTGTCCATATAATTGAGCTCAACTTGACATTTATTCTAATTATAAAATAGTTATTTTTGTAAATTTGTTATTTCCTTGCTTTATATGAGTGAATAGGACATTATAATAAATTATGAACAAACTGTTATCAAGTTTATCTCTGATATATTAAAATCCAGAGCATCAGGTGGCAGCTTACAATCTACAAAGACAACTCTGGTGATTTACAAAAGATTAGCAAGATTTTCAAAAAATAATCAAGTTGTTTATTCTATTTTCCACTAAATAAGGAACTAAATGAGAATGCTTGATTGATAATGAGGAAGTATTTGCACGAAAAAAACATTTCTGCACTTGGTTGTGATACTAAATACACATTCCTGGACTGAGAATTTTTGAGTGTTCGGTAATTTATTTTTTGCCTAAAATCCGTTTATCTGAGCTACTCCTTTGCATCTTATTTCTACTTAGATGTCAGAATTCTTGGCAGAAAAGATGACCCTTTTCTTTATACTTCACATTTTCATTAGATGCTGAAATAAATTAGTTTTAAAACTGTTAAAACTGTCAAGAAAAACAAATAGTATTGCTTAAGAATGAACACAATACTAGCTATTTAACGATTACAATGAAGTTTAGAATCAATTTTTGTGTTTTCAGAAAGTGATCCCATGCCAGAAACAATCACATGAAGCCTTAATTGATTTGATTTCATGTATCAGCAGTTTTCTGCTGGCAATAGTTAATGAGTTATTCCTTAGGTAATTTATCTACTTTCTCTTTTTCCTGAATATATATTTTTAAGGGGGGAAAGGAGAAACTACGTAAAGTTGGCATCACTAACTATGCTTCCATTCTTTCTGAGCAATTGTTGCTGGCAGAACTAAAGCATTAGAGTGTCTACTTGGCCGCTGTATTCAAACCACTTATCCAGGAACATATCCATTTTTGTAACTATGATTGCTTTCAGTGGTTACACCTTTATGGGCTTCTTCTCATGTTACTCTTTCATATACGTCAGATGACTTGTTTACGTTGAGCCATGAATTTTGAAATGTGAATCAAATGTGCTTCTTTTTTGGCCTAAAAAAATGAGAACCCACAGAATGCATTAAGAAGAGAAAGGAAGGAGTTTTTATCCCAATCTGAATTCCTCTTGTTTTCCTTGGCCTGCTTCAGAAGATTTCCCAAACCTCCTCAGAAGTTTTGAAGACATGAGGGAAAGTATTTTGATCTCTCAGTGTTTCTATTGATGAAAATGACATAATTGGATCCTACTTCCGCAACTGAGGAGTTTTAAATTTCCTACTATAAAAATATTTTAGGAAATAGTGGGTTGAATATCTTCACTTCTGCTCATAAAAGGGTGCTATATGTTTATTTCTGCAGGATCTTTAGAATGAAATCTAAAGATATTTATACTTTGATAAACATTACAATTGTTACTGAATCTATTTCACAAATCAAATGCCATATTTTTATATCATGCAATTAAATGGTTAAATTAAAAAATAATGACTAGAAGCATTAACAACATTGCACTCAATTGTTACAAACATATAACCACTATAGAAACTTTGTAGACTGGAACATCTATATCCACAAAGTAAGTACAAAGTAAGGCAACAATAGTGCATCATTTGCAGCTATTTAAAAATATTTAAATGAGGTTAACAAAAGAATTAACAGCCAAAGTTAAACATAAGGTAAACATCAGGAGTGTACTCAAGCTATTTTTTGTTTTTTAAAAATTCTATCTTCTGGGAATAGTCTGATAACACTTCAAGGTAAATACATCAAAGTAACAGGAAACTTATTTGCTTTTATATATTTATTATTTTAGTGTTCTTCCTCATACAGCTGGTTTTATCACACAGGCTGCAATTCTCCAGCCATTCCAAAGTACCATTTATTGACTGTCACAGTATGAATTATGAAGTTCCTTTCTCAGATGCACACTATAGTACACTAAGTACATGTACTTGGAAAGTTGACTTCAGGCAAATAACATTTATCAGAAACCCATTGTCTGTGCTTTCCAGGTGTCTATCAAGTCAAATCAATCTACAGAAAATTTTAACAACTAGTGTTTTCAATTATATTTTTTCTAACATGAAAATATAGTCATTTGTTTTTATTCTAGGGACACATGGTGATTTTCTAGGACCATTATATGTTCCAAATATGTCCATTATATAAAAAACCACTGGAATATGACAAACATTGCTATTAGTGCTTATATTTTAACAAACTAAAAATCAATGCTCACAATCACTATTTCCTATTGTCCCTTTACCATTAAAATATACAAATTCTTCATTAGCTAACTTTTTGAAAATAAATGGAGTGTTAAGATATGTCTTAGAACTAAATTAGTTCATAATAAATAAACAATTCTACCTATAAGAGATGTTTCCAAAGAAAATGTCTATATTTAACTTTTTCTAATATTTTGTACCAATAACATCAAAACAAGAAGTTTCTGGCTGTAGATAACAGTTTTGGAAGTTCCTTAATGAAAACATACTTGACAGTACTTCACAACTTTTAACCTAGACAGCGAATTGTAAAAAAAGTCTGAAAGTCCTCTTACATTGTGTATTACAGCAGAAAAATGTTATAAACCTGCTCTCTGCCAATAACCTAATAATTTCTCTTTGACTTTTTAAAGGGAAAACACACTGAGGAATTGAAGCATCATTTTTTCCTTATCCAGAACTAAACCTCTGGTTGACACATCAAGTTATTGGACTTACCTCTTTCTTTTTTTCCCCCTTTTTGTTATTAACGAAGGCAATAGTCTCCGAACAAGAACTCAAAGCCTTCCAACACCCAGCATGAACTAGCTCTATTTAGAGCTTCCAGGCTCTTTAGTACTTGCCGCTCCTTCTGGCTACAAACAGGGACACTCCTCTCTCTGGGCTAATAGCCGCAAGGAGAAACAGCTAGAAGAAAGTTTGCCCACCCTCTGTCTTCCGCTCCCACTTTTTATCCCTCTCGTCACTTCTAGTCGGCGCACCTTTCCCTCCCCGACTCTGGGGAATGCCGTATGGACCGTTAGGTCGGCCGTGCAACAGCTGGAGAGCTTCCCACTGCCTGAGAGCGGCTCCTGGAAGGAGGAGAGGAAGACAGAGACTACAGGCGAGCAAGCCGTTTCTGTTTCTGAAGCCACTGTTCCGTTTAGAGCCAGCTTCATGCTCTTTGCTTGTCCCCACCTCCCCTGTCTGCCACAGCCTTTTCCTGACATCATTCATTCTCTTACATTCAAACACACGCCCACTCGATTTCCAAGCAGTGACTCACTCTAGAGCTCTGCTGCTGCCGCTGCTGCTGCCGCTATTCGAAGGCTGGGCTTGAAAAACCGGTCAAAGACCGGATATTTATTTACTTTTATAAAAGAGGGGCGGGAGAAAGCCCCGTTCTAACAGAAGAGTGGGGAGGGGGAAGATTTGACAAAGGTATTAAAATTAGGTCGAGTGGAAAAACTTCATTTTTTTGTAATTAACCATTCGAATTAGGGGAGAAAGGTGGAGAAGCTGGTTTGCAAAATTCTTTGCTCTTTGACAAGCCATCTTAAAGAGACAGAACCTCTTGGCATGAAATAGGGACAGAATTTGATCTTTGCAATGCTGCTGCTCTTTTTCAGAAATTCTCTGTTCCTCACCATCCCATCTCAGGGTTCACCCGAGTCCCATGTATTCTCCCTGTCCTTCAAATTTCCTTAGCTACAAATATGTTTGTACCATCAAAACTCTGGAATAATTTAGCTGTCGGGCTCAGAAGATGTACCTAATGGCCATTTAGCTCCTGCTTGCAGAGACGTATTGAACAATTTGAATAATGCCCTTCCTCTAGCCTACATTTTTAATTATGGAATCCAAAAGAAAAGTGCATCACATGACAAACTGTTTAAAACAAAAATAATTACTATATTAGAAAGAAATTAAGGATACACTCCCAGGCATACTTACTTGAAAGTAAACCTCACTGAAGAGCAGAAGATAATTTAGGTAAGCTTGTATAAGACTCCGCATTTATAGCATATATATATAGTATATATAGTATATAGCATATATAGTAGAGGCAGTACATACAAATACTACTTTTTTATTTTGTTGGGGCTACTCTTGGGCTACAAACACTTAAAAATAAATTAAGTTCTCACTGTTATTTTATCACCAGGCCCCCAAACCCATGTTTTCAAAGGTATAGAAATAGTGGTCCTTTATTTAAAAAAAAAAGATGGAGCAATGTTAGAACAGAATAACAGAGTTGGAAGGGACTTTGGAGGTCTTCTAGTCCAACCCTCTGCTCAGGCAGGAAACCCTACACCACTTCAGACAAATGGTTGTCCAAACTCTTCTTTAAAACTTCCAGTGTTGGAGCACTTACAACTTCTAGAAGGAAGTTGTTCCACTGATTAACTGTTCTAACTGTCGGGAAATTTCTTCTTAGTTCTAGGTTGCTTCTCTCCTTTATTAGTTTCCACCCATTGCTTCTTGTCCTGCCCTCAGGTGCTTTGGAGAATAGCTTGACTCCCTCTTCTTTGTGGCAGCCCTTGAGATATTGGAACATTGCTATCATGTCCCCACTAGTCCTTTTCATTAAACTGGACATATCCAGTTCTTACAATCGTTCTTCATATGTTTTAGCTTTCAGTCCCCTAATCATCTTTGTTGCTCTTCTCTACACTCTTTCTAGAGTCTCAGCATCTTTTTTTTTAACATTGTGGCAACCAAAACTGGATACAGTATTCCAAGTGTGGCCTTGCCAAGACATTATAAAGTGGAATTTATACTTCATAGGATCTTGATTCTATCCCTCTGTTAATGCCACCTAGAACTATGTTGGCTTTTTTGGCAGCTGCAGCATACTGCTGGCTCATATTTAAATGATTTTCCACTAGGTCTCCAAGATCCCTCTCACAGTTACGACATATGAGCAATGAAGAGAAACTGGCTAAATAAAACAACTGTGACAACTTTTGTAATGAAAAATGTTACCACTAACATATACACTTTAAAATTACAGCACAACCCCTGGCATTCTAAAAATGGCTCAGCCATTCTGCACGATTGATAACATACAGAACTACAGTTCAGTGCCTGAAACAGAAAGAAAAAAAACTGTAGTTCTTGGGTTTTAAGGACTGGAAATACCCACCCCTCGGTGGGGCATAGGCTCCTTTTACTGTGGCCTTCCAAGAGTCACAGCTGGCTCTGGTTTGCCCTGCTGCGCCAGCCATTGAGGCCAATGGATAGGCCCAGTACCAAGGGCCTGCTAGCAGAGGGCCAGGGCATGTGCCTCACGGTTGCTTAGCAACCCCAGACAATTTGCCTCAACTGCCTTCCATCTGTAAGCTGAACAGGTGACCATAGCAGCTTGGGTCAGTTAGAGGAGAGCGTTCTTTACCTGTCCTAAATAGCAAATCACCTTTCGGCTTCCTCAGGAGAAAGAGGGCCAGCTTTGAGGAGGGGATCTTCTTAATCACCAGGATAATTCAAACAAGTTCCAAGGAAGTGGCGGCTCATTTGGAAATAAACCTAACTCACCTATACTTTTAGATTTGACGCTGCTGGTTGTAGAAACGGTGTTTTTTATACAGGTAGTCCTCGACTTAGAGGCACAATTGAGCCCAAAATTTCTGTTGCTAAGCGAGACATTTTTTAAATGAATTTTTCTCCATTTTATGACCTTTTTTGATACAGTTGTTAAGTGAGTCATTACAATTGTTAAGTTAGGGACATAGTTGTTAAGTGGTTTCCCCATTTACTTTGCTTGTCAGAAGGTTGAAAAAGGTAAACACATGACCCTGGGACATTGCAACTGTCATAAGTTAGTTGCCCATTGTGCAAATTTTGATCACATGACTATAGGGATGCTGATGCGGTTGTAAGGGTGAAAAATGGTCATAAGTCGTTTTTTCCAGTGTCATCGTAACTTTGAACTGTTGTAAGTCGAGAACTATCTGTGCAGGTAATCCTTACTTACTGACTTCAGTTGGGACTGGCAACTCCATCACTAAATGGCCTATCTTTAAAATGAAATGTCACATAACTATATGCTGATTTATGTATATCAATTCCAGCTGTGGCTGTGAAGCAAATAATTTGTAGTCATTAAGTACAATGTCATGTGACCATATGTGCTGGTGGTCTGGAAGTGCCTGATTCATGATCACATAACCATGGAGAAGCTGCAAGGCCACAACTTTGAGGACCAGTCAGAAATCTCATTTTACAGTGCTATTGTAACTTTGAATGGTCATATGTTGAAAACTGCTCAATATTGCCTTGCATTGCGAGATGACAGACATATAAATTTAATAAATGAATAAAATAAATTGGAACAGTCAGTAGTCAGTAAGTGAGGACTAACTGTACTGCTTATTTTGCACATATTTAGTTGTGGTAGTACAGGCATGTTAAGAAACCAAATACATATCATATCATAGCCTAAACACTTTGCCTAATCTGCAGAGTATCAAGAGAATATTTAATTTGTATTTATTTTATATAATATGTGCAGATGCCCAACCTGTGTAACTC